CTATTTCACTGTCATGTAGCACTGGGTGGACTCGAACTCACAGAGATCCTTGTGCCTCTGTCTCCTGAGTGCTGGGATTAAAGGTGTGTGTCCCCACTGCCCAGACGTTGTAGTTGTGGATAACTTTGCATTCTGATCTTCAGTGGCATTACTAGATCATAAACAATATATCCACTACATCTGCCCTTTGTCCTTGCAACCTCCTCGAAAATAAAACAGGCAAACAAAACATAATAAAAAAATTAAAAATAAAAATGCAAATTAAAGAAAAAAAGATCTTATAGGGGACGTTGTGTGCTCCGCTGTGAGTCACCCCAGTCTTTTACCCAAACAGCTTTACTTGAAAATGTTCATTTCAAATGAGTCATTGGTGTGCTTCCGGACCTTCGGCTTCTGCTACATTATCAATACTGGATCTGCACCTGGACTTCCGTGTGTCCTTCAGATGGTGCAGCTTTGAGTCTGTAGGACAAGTGTCTTCAGGCACTCCAACAGTTCTTACCTGATCTGGGACTGCATGGTGCTGGGTTTGTTCAGCTCTCTTGCTTTACCGCTCTTGCACCACCAGGGTCTGCTCTCTGCTTTGCTCAGGTGACATACAGAGCCAGCTCATCCACTCTCCCACCTTCCTGGCTAGCTCTACAATACTACATACACAGTGGAGCCGCAGGACCAGTTCTCCTGCTATGCCCATGCCATGCCACCAGGGTTAGCTAGTGTGCTCCCCCAGTGAGGTGTAGGCCTGCTCTCCCAAGTGCTGCAGTTGGCAGGGGCCAGGGCCAGTTCTTCTGCTTTGTTTTATTATATCATATTTTGTCCTGTTTGGGTGTTGTCTCTTAGAGGCCTGCTCTTTGCTGAAGAGGAAACAGACTGTGAGTAGATATGGGAGAGAGGGGAGGTGGAGAGGAGCTAGGATGATTGAAGGGAAACTGTCTTCAGGATGTATTGTGGGAGAGAAGAATCAGGAGGTTTTTTTGTTTGTTTGTTTGTTTGGATTTTTCTCCTTTTTAAATTTAAATTAGAAACAAGCTTGTTTTACATGTCAATCTCAGTTCCCTCTCCCTCCCCTCTTCCCTGTCACCCAATGCCCCCCCCATCACATTCCCTTTCTGCTCCCCAGGGAGAGCTAGCTCATGGGACACAGACTGATACCTGGGAAATCAGCATAGGACTTTGGCAGATCCCCTGAATGTGGCTGTCAGTTTGGAGGTCTGGTTAATCTATGGCGCCTCTGGTGAGTGGATCAGTAATTATCCCTAGTATAGGAATGGACTTTGGGAGCCCACTTCACATAGAGGGACACTCTCTCAGCTAGGACCTCTCCAAATGGTAAGACAGATTTTTTTTTTATCTTTTTAAAGGAATCAACATTGTGTTTCTCTATGAACCACTACTGTCTATTTTTTATTTGTTGGAAAAAGTCTCTTCCTGTGATCACAGTATCACATATGTGGCTGTGGGAATGTAAGAAATCTTAATCAGCCAAGATTCTGGCACTGTGAATCTACTCAAGTGGATAGCTCCTCATCGTTTTGTTTTGTTCTTTTTTTTCTGTTTGTTTGTTTTGTTTTGGATTTTTTTCCTTTTTTATTTATTTATTTTACAGCTGTCACCCACATGCTTAGGTGGGCCCCGTGCAGGCTCCCTAACTGTAGGTCTAGAATCCATGAGCTCCCAGGAGCTCAGGTCAGCTAGCTGTCTCTGCATGTTTCAGTGATGATTCCTTCCCACCCCCCTACCCTCCCCACCCCTCAACCCTCCCCACCTCCCCACGCTCCCTACCCCTCCAGAGGATGGTACAATCCCTCCTCCTTTTAATCAGCATGACCCTGGGAGCTCCTCATTGTATATGGACAAGTCTTTGTTATTAGAAGTTTCTTATGGTGTCCCTCTCTTCTACTTTATAGATGCTTGTGGTGATACCAAAGTCACCCCTAACTAAACCTTTAGTCATATCATAGATTATTGGGGAAATAATACCATATGAGGATGTTATACAGACTAGAAGATTAATTCTAGTACGTAATTGACATTTCACAGTTCATCTGAGAAACCACATAGCCTTCCAAACTGGTAGAGATGTAATTGCAGCATCAAACAGAAATTATTCTGACAAAATATTACAGGACTTTGTTTCTTGATAATTCATATAGATACATTCATTGTCCTCCAGCTAGTAGGTCAAAGATGATTTGTGCATTCATTTTAGAAATACTCCCAAGCTTTGAAACATTGTTTAGCTCAGTTTTTAAGCATCAAAACCAAACTAATTTAAATAGAGCATTCCCTATTTTCAGGAACCTGCTACCTTGGGAAATGTTTCTGTATCTTTCTGCACCAAAGCTACTTGAAAGGAAAGCTAATTGTAGGCTTTAATACACATCTGGGTAAAAATTTGCTTTATGCAGGCTTGATTTTTAATTATTATCATTATGGACAGATGGCATAAATAACTTTAATTGAACTTATAAAGCAACACTTGTTATAATCAGTGAATATCTTGAAACAAGGAAAGAATTTTCCTTTGCATTTGGTTTAGCAAAAATATAAATAGAAGAGATTATTAATTCAATGAAATTTTTATTTTAGGATTGGAACTGTTATAATTGACATAAATCAATAGCCTACTTAGGTCTGCATTGAGACCAGTAACTTGAATTTGAGCTGGAATCTCTTGAAAATTTGATGCATTACAAGCAGAATTTCAATATACAAACACATTCAGGAATTTTATCACTTGGTTTATATTTTGAATACAGCATTTTAATACAGATATACGTTTTAAGCAAGAGCCTCTCCTGAAGACTCAGGGATACATGCTGATGAGGAAGTGGAAAGATTGTAAAATCCAGAAGAGATGGAATACCCCAAAGAAACAGGGTCTTCAGAACTCATCAGGACTAGTGACATATGAACTCACAAAGACTGTGACAGCACACACAAGACCAACATATCCAAGACAGATAGGGTCACAGCACTGACACGGAGAAGAGAGAAAAGAACAGCATAGAGTTGTAGGTACAGAGAACTGGGAAGGAGGGAAGATCTGAGAGGGGTTTGGGAAGGAAAATCATTATCAGAATATACTGTATAAATTTGTTTGTCAATAAAAAACACAATCTATGAAACAAAACCAAATATATGACTAGTTTAAGAATTCATATATTAAATGATACTGGGTGAAGTTGAGAATCACTATACTGTGGTAATAGGAGTAGCTTGTTGATGCTTCAGGGCTATGGTGTCTATGTTTATAATTTTAGATACTTTTCCTAAATTATATTTGACATAAATTGTGGTATGTTAAAACCATTAATTTTTTTTGGAAATTGTTTAGGGACAAAGTCTTATTCTGAGCATATATGCATAAGAACTCATAGATAAGATGAACTATACTGTTTCTTCAAAATGTAATTATTTTTAGTATTAGAAAAATGTTCCTATTTTATGAAGCCCAATATTCTTTATTTATTTTTATTTTTTTATTTAAATTAGAAACAAGCTTGCTTCACATGTCAATCCCAGCACCCTCTCCCTCTCCTCCTCCCCTAATCCCCTACCCCATCCCCCCTCTACTCCCCAGGGAGGGTGAGGCCTTCCATGGGGAATCTTCAAAGTCTGTCATATCATCCTGGGCAGGGACTAGGCCCTCCCCTATGTGTTCAGGAAGCCCTATATTCTTAAATGTCAAAGTTTTGGTATCTATCCCATAGAGTATCTGGTTCAAAAAAATGGAAAAATCCATTTTCAACTAACTTCAAACAATAAGTGAAAAGCTACTGGTTTTCTAGAGCCATAATACTCATTGCTTTAAATAGTATAAATATGGAATCTGAGGCATAGTCAATTTTTTTCCATTCCTACTTGAAATTATGACTGATTTTTTCTTTGAATAAACTTTGACAAAAATGAAGAAATAGTAAATATTGCCATGATAGTGAGACCAACGTGGTTCAGTCTCAAAGAGTATTTGTTTTCTTCACAAAATACACTAAATTCACTCTTCTTTGAACATATGGAGAACAACTACAGAGCACCAGATTAGTGAATAACTGAATCTGTGAAAGTGCCATGGGCATAAATAATTTCTTCAACTAGTCATGTTTTTTAAATTTTAGAATTTTTAATTCTTCAAATAAGGAACACTGTCATAAAATGCTACAGATGAAAAGGAAATACATTCTTGAATATTAGAGAGGTAGCTCTAAAGAAGATCCACTGTAGTATAATGGGGTTGTCCTTCTATAAGTGTTTATCTTATTGGTTGATGAATAAAACACTGTTGTCCAGCAAGAAGATAGGTGGGACTAGGAGATGAGGAGGATTCTGGGAAACGTAGTCAGAGGGAGTAGAGATATAGGATGCCAGAGAGTAAGAAGAGGTCCTTGGACCTTCATCCAATAAGATAAGACCACATGGAAATACATAGATTAATAGAAATAGTAATTAAGACAGAGCTAGCCAATAAGAGGTGCAAGCCAATGGCAAACAGTATTATAATTAATATAGCATTTGTGTGTTCATTTGGGACTGATGCGGCTATGGGACCAGGCTGGTGGGAAAGAGTGCCTGTAACAGCAGGAGTCAAATTCAACATACTTTTAAATACTTTCTGGTGAGCTTTGTACTACATATTTTTTCCATTATGTTCTATGTAGCCAAAGGAATAAAACCATGATGAAAGGAAGAATCTTAGTTGTGGGAACAACAGACCTTGGCCAGAGGCCCACTTTCCCATCAGCCTGGGAGCAGGCAGCTGTAAGACAATGTTTACTAAAAACAATAAGCACTGGAGCTTCTGATAAGGGCTCGCCCAGGGAACACCCTGACCTCGACCTTTTCCAATCGGAGCAGTAAGTTTCTGATAAGGGCTCGCCCACGGGAACACCCTGACCTTGACCTTTTCTAAAGACTAACGACCTCTGGTGTCAGGGCATATATAACCAGCCAGGGTAAGAATAAAGCAAAGCCTTCTTGAGGAGCCTACTGAAAAGCCTTCTTGAAGTTTTCTTTGCACCACTGACTGGTCTCTGTGTCATCAATCCTGACACCCTCCTCACATTCTCGGACACAGGCTGCACAGCAGACACGGCACTTAGTTTTGTTTTCAGTACATTCATTTAATTGGTTTTCATTAGTAACTTTAAATTCTTTGTATTTAAATGGCCTATACTATTTTTTCATTATTAAAACCAAGATGCATCTATCAAGCTTTAGTGTAGCTTTATAAAAAATGAAAGATGACATTTCTTAAGCGCCAATTGTATCCACCCATTAAAAATGTTTAAGCTTATAGCAATGTAAAACTAGAAAAATTCCAATCCCCCCAAAATGTTGCAAAGTTCAAGGGAATAGTAAAAGACATCTCTAAGGCTCAAATACAATATGGAAACTTCTCAGGAGAAAAGAAAAAAAAAGCTCACCAGACCAGAAAGCAGATAATTCAATCACCTTATGAAAGTACTATAAAATATTCATGCTATGCGACAATTTATTTTAAGATCAAGCTCATATCAGTTACTCAGAGCTATTTTTTAGTATTTATACTAATAACTTCAGTTTTTAGCCTCTCATTTTTTACTGTAAGATGGGTTCTCCATCATAGCCTAGTATGGATTCACACTCAGGGCAGACATTCTGATTCAAGTTTTAGTGTGCTGTTATTCAGCATGACTCATCATGGCTATTTTATCTCCTGTATTTTATTACCCCTAGCTAATAAAGGAACTTTAGCTAAGTTCCATCATTATTTTCTTTTATTAAAATTATTGTTGCTTGTTAATTGTTGTAATAGTTAGTCATCTTTTCCTAAGCCTTTATTAGTGAGATTTTATGCTGTTCTTGCTCAGATGAGAATAGCTATATTTTCTTATAATATGAATGGAATTATTGCTGATTTCCTATTCACGTAGGAGTTGAATTTCTTCTGATATATCTTATGCTTCTTCCGTGCCCACAAAGACATCTGGATACTCATTAAAATTGTAAAAATGCCAACTGAAAGAAAAAAATCATATGTCTATATTTTTGTAATGGAAGCAATCAATTATATTTAAAAAATAAAAATAATTTATAAGAGAAAGTATTTCCTGGCTGCTACATAGTTCCCTAATAAGATCCTTCCATTTGTTCTTTAGAATAATGCATTCACAAAAAATACTTCAAGGATAAATTTTAAAAAAACGTCTATAAAACTCCTTATATATTTCCTTCTCAATAAATTTCCAAAAGAAATCTAATTATCAATAAAATTCTCTCTATATACATATTTACACACATTGTATGTATGTATATATACTAACTTAATGTTAACTCATAATTGATGAATGGAACAATCAATGACATTAGTATTACATATGTTTCTTTAAATGTAACACTCAGGTAATCCAACTTTTCTTTTTACATTAAAATGTCAACTTTTCAAATATTTGCAATCAGCATTCCCCTGCCCACCTTTTACAGTTGTATACAGATGTATACACATAGAAGAGGTAGCTTTAAGGGAAGTATACAATCAATATTATATTTTCATTGTATTGCCAAACTTGAATTAAATTTATATATATACATTATATATATATATATATAACTGTAGGAGATAGTGTTTCAGTACTTTAATAATAAAAATCACTATCAAAATGGAAATGTATCTGTAATATATTGTTGCAAGTAGTTGTACATTATTGGGAGAGTAATTAATTCTCAGACATTATTTCTCCTAAAGATATTCTTATGTTGATTAACTGTCAAAAATATTAAGATTACCTGGAAGTGTTTGTGTCATGACTGTGAAACTAATCCAGGATCCAATCTGTTAATATAAAACCCCAATGTTAACAGACACCTGTGCCTAGATATTTAATCACTTATGTTCCTAAGTAAGCAACTTGAAAGCTCAAAACATTATAAAATATCTGACTAGAAAGAAATTACCATACCTTTTACATATGAAAGCCATAAAGGGTCACAACTATTAGCTACATGGTAGAGAAGAGCATTGTTTTAGAATCTATGCTATTCTCAAAATTTTAATATATCCATGCTATGTTATACAGAGTATACAAATTCTTTAAGCATACATATATCTATGTAAAATTAATATACCTGTTAATATCTTTAGAAAAATCTATCTGCAGATTGCACAAAATATATTTAAAACATAAAGTTGTACATTCATTATATGAAGAATACAGTTCAGTAATTTGCTCATGTAGACACCATACCTCATAGGTGTAGTTAGGACAGGAAACCAGGAAAAACAGCCATGTAAAGGGATTATAATTTGGACTTGGGAAACAGGCATTACTCCCTTTAAAGAAAGAGGAAAAAATATGTCAATTATGATATAACTTGCAAATTATGTAATACACTTATTAAGCATTAGCAGGTTCCTGAGTACAATCATCTAACACATGAAATGTCATCTATTCATAGCAAATTATTTCATAAGTATCCCCAAAAAGCCATAGTTTCAAATGCTATACATTTTGACTCAGAAGGAATATTTGTTACTTTTTAAATATTTCTATGTCTATGTTGCTGTAAAATTGTGGGACATAAAAGTCTAAACAATTATTTAAAAATTGAATAATATATAATATTTACTCTGCATAACACATTATCTGCATCAATGTCCTGTTCATAAATTTTAAATATATCTTGCTAATTCCATGGTTTTACATTTTCTTTTAGTGACAAAGAATAATTGTTTGATATTATAAATACTTCATAACTCACTACCAAATTAGTGAAAATCAAATGGGAAATGTATAAGGATGCCATTTACACCAAATGAGTCTGAAAGTATCTTGAGAGTTATCCTGAATCAGTACAGTTAATATTCAGAAATACCACACAAATTATTTGACTAAGCAATCAAAAATGGTATTTACAGCTTTCATTATATTTAGTATAACATCACTTGATTTTCATTAATTTTATCCAAGTAAATTTTTTCAGGGAACATTTTGGAAAATAAATTTGTAATGATTTCATGTTGAACTTTGAGCTGTGACACTTATAAAAGAAAATATGAATTACAAAATTGCTGTTTTATTCTCCATAGCAAAATTTAATCAGAGAACAAATCAACTAATCTCATTTAGTTACAACTGTAAAGTCATAATAAAATGTCAATGTGCTATGTCCAAAAATATAACTGTCGTTGAAATAACAAGTTAAAAATATATGAAATAACATGTAGATCTCATTATTGCTCTTTGTTACAAAGATGATCACATATTGCTGGTTCTCTTAGAATAGTAGCTCTCAACATGTGGGTGAGCCCTTTGGGGGCTGAATGACCCCATCACAGGGGTCACTGAAAACTGTCAGAAAGCACAAATGTTTGTACTATTATTCATAATAGTAGCAAAATTGCAGTTATGAGGTAGCAATGAAAATAATTTTATGCTTGGGAGTTACCATAACATGGAGAACTGTATTAAAGGTGTTTCAGTATTAGGAAAGTTGAAAATCTCTTTCTTAGAACATTTATGCAAACGCATTTTGAAAGGCCCTTAGAGTAGTCAAAAGAAGGGTTTTTGGACTACTACTAAACTAATTTGCCAAGACAGGTAAGAGATACACATGAGATAATCTAAGATAAACCTCTAGTTAATGAATATTTAGCCCCTAGGCTTTAAACCTTAATCAAGTATTCATAAACCCAAATTTGTTTTTACTATTTGAAGATTAAATGATGACCATGTCTTGTAAACAAAACATAATTATACTTGCCAATGAAGTTCAAATGTATATAGTTGCTGTTGTTTATAATGATATACAAGTGTGGGTAGTACTAATTTTATACATTCTCTATAATTGCTTTCCCAATTTACACTTATTATCATTGATATTCTATTAAAGAATATAGGGAGTGTGTGTGTGTGTGTGTGTGTGTGTGTGTGTGTGTGTGTGATTCCAAATTTCTTCTTCTGTCTGTCACTCTCAATGTCATTTCTTGAGATGGATTCTCTTCCTATCCTTGGAGTTTGCCAATCTGAAAAGATTCTATGGCCAGAAATACTAAGAATCCTTCTGTCCCAGTCTCCCTAGGATTGAGTTTACAGGCGTGAATCACCACTTCTGACTTTTAATATATGTGCCATTAATCAAAACTCATTTATCATTCTTATTCAGCAAGCACCTTACTGACTGGGCATTTATCCATTCCATGAATATTAAAATGCGTTTAATAGGAAATGCTGCATTATTGCACTATGTAGATTGGTCTGAAGACTTCACTCACTGTTATGCTAGTCAGAAGAGTCAACTCTAAGTGTGCCTTCTTAGAATCTTTTTATTCAAAGGCAGACCTAGAACAAGGTTATATCTAGTTTTTATTAGTCTCAACATAGTCTTTGATTAGCATTTTAAATTTACTATTTTTCAGGACAATATTTACTGTTCATCCCAGATTTACAATGCTACATATGGTCATTGGAGACATTTATTTAGATATTTATTAAACTTAATTTCCATGTAATTTTTTTCCATTTGAATAAAATCTCTCCATAGGGGAAAAGTGAGCATCCTTCCTCTTCTCAAATCTGCATTGCAGTACACACACCGTAAAAATTTTCTCACCAAGAATTTCTAGTGAACTGCATATTATAATGGTTCTTTAGAGTTGACAAACTTTCTGAGAAGCCTGCAATAAACACTGTATTGTACTGAGATAACACAGAATACACTGCTGTTGGTATGAGGAGGAAGTATGAATGTGTAACTATTCACTAGTAATATGCTGGTATTCAATAACAATGGGCAGGGCACTTTGGCATGTTCAATATAAAGAACATATCTAAGTGGAATTTTAGTAAATATACTTAATATAATTTAAATAGTTAAAACTGCAAGTAATAAATGCAAAGTAAAAGTAAAATACACATGTGACTAACACCGCCTTGTTTTCATGTATAGTTTAGCTATTTCCTCTGACCTGAAATTGTCCTTGTTAGAGACAGAAGGATGTCCATAAGACTAAAGAAGTATTCAGTCTTCCAAGGCTCCTTCAGAAGATAGCAGAAACAGTGAACAGTTTCTGGGGAGAGAAGACTCTTCAAGGTGTGCAGGGATACCCAGGACTGAAAGTTTTTGAGTTCATATATGCTGGAGTGGGCTTTCACTGATACTTCTGCTTTGAGTTACAAATGGTCCTGTAAGAACCCCTGTAAGGACTCATGTATCTGCTTGTTACCCCAATAAATTCATTGTGTTCCAAAGACAGAGTTGGGTGAAAAGATTTCTTTGGTCTGTCATGATGCCATATCTGGGATGAATGAAGCTCTATCATGTCTTCTAGAAAATGTGACATTAGAATGTGTAAAAAGTGCTGATCACCTGCCATGAGAAGGCAGTTAAAACCCAAACTTGGGTCAGCAATGTATATGAAAAAGAGCAGTAAAGCTCTAAGACCGAACTTCTCGAGTGCAAACAGGGACAGTCATGCCAAAGCAATGGCTAAACATTCTGTATTAACTAGATTTCATTGAAACTATGAAACTTCAGAAGTAGCACAATAATCCTTACTAAACTTCAGAATCCTCCTTCTATACTTCAATCTACAGGCCACTACCCTAGAAGAGATAAACAGAATAAAAATTGTAAAAGGAGAAAAATAAGTTGTGAGGGAGATGTGATGTAAGGTCCTGGGAGTATTCAGAATGTGGGAATGGACAATGATATTAAAAAGTTACATGGTCTACAAGTATAAAGACCTCAAAAGATTAAAATAATTTTTGAAAGATTACCCTCATCTTCCCTCCTAACCTTTGTCGGTAGCAATGGTTACAGCAGTTTGCAGCCTATCTGACATATTTCTAGGTCTGCAATTTGTGTAAATATATAAGTATCAAAACATTTGGAAGAGATGCAGGAATATAAAAGAGACTACCTGTGTGATTGGGATGAGCCAACACAGTATTGATGAAATGATTTCCAGCTTCACAAATCTGTAAAATATATCACAGTTTTTCAATTAGCAAGCGAGAATTTTCTGCCTGGTGGTGGTGGTGTATGCCATTAATCCCAGCATTTGGGAGGTAGAGGCAGGGGGATCTCTGTGAGTTTGAGACCAGTTTGGTCTACAAGAGCTAGTTCAAGAACAGCCTCTAAAGTCACAGAGAAACCCTGCCTTGAACCCCCCCAAAAAGAGAGAGAGAATTTTCCAAAATTAGAAGCTTATATTCTGATCCTATGTTTATCCACCAGTAATTACTTACAGATAAATAGAAATTTTGAAGATAGATTTACTATGTTAATAACCAGGTTCAGATGTCTGTATTAATTTGTCAGTGCTATGTGCTTTCATCATGATATCCGGGTTGTTTTTATTTCATCATGAAGTTATCCTATATGTTGTTAAAGACAAACTTCATAAGAGTATGCACTCTCAGTTCATTAACACAAGAGCAATGCTTTTAGTGCAAGGATCTCAGTTCAATGCTCAGTGGGCATTAGCTCAGTTTGTGACTTATTTACAATACAGCACAGTGTCCAGGCCATTGCATGATAATGACTCATTTTCATTAGTCATGTTTACAAAATATCAAAAACAGCAAATGAAGCAGAACCAAATAAATATTGATCAATTTGGCTAGGCCTGCAGCAGATAATGTAGCTAAAGATGAAGAAGGGCTAAAAGAAGGCATAAAGATGTAGTTGATAAAGTGAGTAGCATCATCAAAGGGAAACCAGTTCTTTTCACATTGTCATGGGGGGGACCGTCTTGAGGACCATCATTGGGTGTGATTTTACGTCATTAAAATTTAAATAATCTTGGATAATAAAACATGTTATAGTCTCCAAATGAAGTAGGTGTATCTGTTATGGATAACAAGTGTAAATTTTAATGAGTTTTACATTTGAATTGATTTTAAAGTAAATTTAAAAATTACTATTTTGTGAGTTGTTGAATCGTCTTTAGGTATTTTAGCCCTTTGTAACTTAGTGCTAGGCTCATTATTCGACTTAATATATTAGAATGTTATCTATACACCCTATTGTTTTATTCAGTTACTGTATAAATGAATAGGAAATAGGAAATGAATAGCATACACTACAGAATTGTAATAATGGAGACATTCTTTGTTTGCTGATTAGCATTATGCCTTTGTCACTAAAACATAGACATTGTTAAAGAAGGGACTTAGAAGAAAACAATGGGAAATAGCAATCAACAAAATCCAAACAAATTAAGATGAAAATGACTACCAATAACTCATTTTTAGATGATATAATGAATGTTCTTTCTTAGTTTTTGAATTTTAGTTTTTACAGATAAAATTACATGAGTAATTTCTTTCCTTTCTGAAGATAATTTTATCTGTAAAAACTAAAATTCAAAAACTCTTCAGACAAGAATTGGAGTCAATAAGAGTTAATTCTTTCAATCTTCTATAGTAAAAATTATTCCATCTTTCACATAAAACACTTAATTTTCCAGTGTAATCTCAAGAAAATTGGAGGAAACACAACATTCTGCCTTGTAATTTGAACTGGCCTTTTTTTGGCTTGCTATTGCTTAATATGATGAATAATTAATGCCAAGTAAAATATATTATGTCTAATGTTGACACTGAGAAATAGGAATGGAATCAATTGTATTAACTAAATTGAAATATAAAATCTGGTAATTTGGTAATGACTTTCAATATTCACTGATTTGTTCAGATTTTTAAGTATTTTCTTCATAAAATTAATAAGGATTGCAAAATAATTGTAGGTTAATTTATTTCTTTTTACCCTCAGATTCAAATTACTTGGACATTTCCTGTTTGAAATTTGTTAATTATGCTGATTTGAAAGATTTGGCTTCAACTTTACTTGGAATTGTATGTATGGTCCTTTGTAAATAAAATGCTTTTGATGGCTAAGTTCAGTTTTACACTTTTTCAGTATTCATAGATGATATTTCTGATAATTTAGATTGATATGCTATTAAAATTCTATTTTTACAATTCTTTGTTTGTGTACTTGTATTTTTCAAACCTGTTATTACATAGTTTATTTTGTAGATAATCCATTAATATACAATGCTTCAATAAAATTTTCTTTAAAAAGTAGTTGGTTTTTTTTTATAAAAAATAATTGGCCAATGAAATTTTTACTCTGGAAAATGACTATTTCAAAATGATTTTAAATGAATTTCATTTAGAATTTCAATTACATGATATAAATTAAACATTATTAAACTGCTTACATGAATTTGTTTTATCTGGTTTGACCACTGAAGATAAAGTTTGGGTCATTAAGTTATTAGATGGTGTTTAATTTTGGAACTTATTGAAATGATTTAAAATTTTCATTTTGCTCCTTATATTTTTTATTGTGAGCCTAGCCTTTAATGACTGAGCCATCTTTCTAGCCCCAATTTTTGCTTCTATAATCTACCTCAATACTAGAGTTGTATAATATTTTAACTGTAAATCCATAGAATTTTCATAAATTATTATTTTCAGTTTTTAATACCATATATTGAGTTTTGAGAAGGCAGATGAGAGATAACATGCATTGACTGTAGAAGAAGTGGTGGACCAAAATTCCTTGTAAGACTTTCATCTTCAATGACTTCCATGGTATGTATCTTAAAAATTCCAAGTTTTATGTTCACATAGTGGTTAATTTAAATTGGTTGTTCCCAATCCGTGGATCATGATCCCTTCTATTTTGCATTATGATTCCTAACATTAGCAAGATTACAGTTAAGAAGTAGCAATAAGATAATTTTATGGTTGGGCATCAGTGCAGCATGAGGAACTATATTAAAATGTTACAGTATTAGGAGGGTTGAGAATGACTGATTTAAATGATGACTTTCTCTATTAGTGAGTTTTTACAAAACAGTAATTTCAATAAATTTAAAGACATAAAGATAATCTACATTTATTTGGTTTATTTAAATTTTTCACAAAGAAAGACTAGATCCAATTGTAATCATTGATTTGTATGGACTATATGCACAGAGCCATATGCAATTTAGAAATAAAAGTTGTTTCAGGACATTTCAAAAGGAATTTTCAAAAAGTGACTGATACTTAAACTTTAAATTAGAGTTCAGCAAGGAAAATGGTAAAAATCATAACATAACCTGTAGATGAAGGCACAGGCTTGTTCTTAGATTTTGCTACATCAGTATGTATCAAATTTCCAAAAGCCAATTTCTGGTCTTTCTGGCTTATCCCGTCAAGCTGCAGCTCTCTGCTTATATTACAAGTTGTGATATGTGAATTTACACAACCTCTTGCTTAATCAAATCATACCTTTTTTATGCTTGAGGCTTTTCTGTGATTTTACAGGAAAATATACTACAAAGAGCTTTCTTTTCCAAGAAAATTTACATTTTACGATAACAAGGTGAGAAAATTCAACTGAAGAGGTAAGGAATGCTGATGTTAGAGAAAGAGCAACACTAGAATAACGAGCTATTTGAAGACTCAGAAAACCAGCCTGAAGTCTTGTTTCCTTTCTAGTTTGTTAATCACTGAAGAAACTAAGAATATAAGGGGAAAATTCTTTGTTAATGAAATGTTGCTTGTTCAAAAGGCTGGCAAACCATGGCTGCCTTCACAAAATGAAGGCTAAGGTGGAATTGAATGGGGACTTAAAAGTGTATTATTATTAATGCAAAGCAGTGTATTTTGTAATTTTGATTCTTTCCTTTTATTTATAGTTTTAGAAAATGAAGAACAGTGGAAATATGAAAAGATCAATAGGTGGTATTTTCAAATATTTAGAGCAGATAGAAGTAGATGTCAGCTTTGAAAGAAGAGCAATTCTGATATCTATATATTGTTTTTGTGAGTCATAACTTCCATTCCCCACCTTCAAGTGTGATTCTTGTACACATTTAAAGATAAAATTTGTATTTAAAGTTTGGAAAAGAAAGTAATAAGAATTCACAGACTACAATATCCATATAGTGAAATCTAAATAAGTATCTCATCAGAAGTCTTTGGTCTGAATATCAAATATATTTTGTGAATATTTTTTGTAACTTATGATATTTTTCTTAAGGTACTAAGTGCCAAAATTTCAGTAGAAAGAAGTGATAGGGAGCAAAAGAACAAATTATAGCAGATAGTAAAGTAATGGGCAATCCTTCCCTGAGTAATCAAGAAGCAACTGTGATACCTTAAAACATGCTTTGAATATTGTCTTTACCAGGTAATGGTCTATTCTATGTCACAACAGAAGCAAAGATCAACTTAAAACAAAGTTTGATATTTTAGACTCACCAGTACTTAAAGTAATAAAGAAATATAAAGGTTTGCAAACAAAACTTTATGAGAAAAAATTGGCATCTGCAATAGAGGAATATATATATATGATTGAAATACATATTATTGAATACTTACTATTATTTTCCTTTGATCATCCTTCGCTATAACTTACTGCACTAACTTTTGTTAGTTTAATGGAATATAATTTATAATTATCTGGACTTAAAATGAGTTGTAATTTCTTCACAAGTGAAAAATAAACAATTTATATAAAAAATAATCTCACACAGGTTTATTAAATTCTATGAATAGTAAACCAACTTAGACATGTTCAGTTAGGTAGGTATTCTGGATTTAGACGATAAATTCAAGCTTGATCAGTGTTACATTGTTGTGCCCAAATTCTGAACCCCAAAATCACCAAGAGGCCCATTTCGATGCAAAAGCAAAGAGCATTTTATTGTAGATGTTTAACAAGCTAACCCTATTAGCTTGGGCCCTTCACCCCGCCACCATGGCAAATGGCTGGAGAAAGACCCCAAGCAACCTCGAGGCAAGGATCTTAAAGGGCAGCATAAGGGGAGTGTCTAGGGGTATGAAACAGTCTCAGGATTGGTGTTTTTCCAAGTTTGGGTGACTTGCCCTGTGTTGATTGGTCAACTGTTTGTTATGGCCCATAGGCCCTCCCAGGGTGGTTGCTATGTTCTGCACATCACTGTTGTGCACTTGTC